ACCTAGTCCATTATATCAGGCATTTGTGATGTATAGGTATGGTCAAGCAATCAGTTTTTGACATACTGCTATGCATAATTTGTTGTGCCTTCAAATTTGCAATGAGCAGCACATTCAGGTCTAAATGTGAGAGAATGGGTCTATGCACTGTTAGTGTGCAGTATACAAAAGCACATACCCCATGTAAAGCACAATGGAAGCAGTTAACCTCTTAGCCTTAGTTAACTATGGCATACAGACGAAAATCCCTCAATCTTATCACAATTAACCACTTACTGCTAACACCAACAGGCACTAACTGTGAGAGCAGTGATTCTGATGTGGCATTCCCCAGGTCTGAGATGAATGAGAATAAAAAGGATGGCCATAATGGTGCTTCAAGCCCAGCAAGCCCACAACTCATGTCACACAATACAGCTGTAAAAGTCACAACTTTATGGACTACTGTATATTGCTTCGACAGGAAGGAAAGTAGATGCACAGTACCATGAAGGTTTCTGAGATTGTGATTTCTTCTTCTCCCTATTAATGGTACATACTAGGGCTGTACCAAAATATCAGCCTAAAATTGAGTACTATATCAGTATCAGAGGGTATAGGCTAACTTTGATAGTATTAGTGCCAGCCTAAAATTGAGTATCAGTACTGGTAAAAAATTTTGGCATCACCTCATCCCTAGTACAGGTACACCACTGATTTTCCAGCAACCCTGGTCCCACAGCCTTGCAGGATTATCCATTTTGCCAGAACAACAGAGGTTGTGTAATAAGTTAACAATACACCTCTGATCCACTAATTATATACCACCTGTGTGTTTACACACCAAGCTTCATTAATTACTGTACTTACAAGGAATATAGCAATACTACAGATCCTAAAGTGGCAAATTTAAAAAATATACTTGAACAATAGAGCTACAGTGGACCTCCAATTTTCATATGGTCCGCATATCGTACAATTCGGATTTAGAATACTTTTTTTAGGCAAAATTTTGATCCAGTTTCCGTACCTCAATCCGGAAATCGTATGTATCATATGCGTCCGCCCGCCCGGGAACGCCGGTAGTCTGACTTTGTCACTGGTTGAGTGAGCATTCATCCGAAACATTCCCAATTTTTGTGCTTGTTTTTTTATTGTGACTGCGAAATAAGCCACCATGGGCCCAAAGAAAGTTCCTAGTGCCAGCCATATTGTAAAGAAGGTGAGAAACAAGACAGAATTCAAGAGAGAGATTGTAGAAAAATACGAGTGGCGTATGTTTAGCCGAGCTTGCCAAGATGTATTGGAAGAGCTGCAAGACAAGACTTTCATCTGGAACAGCAACAGATCACAGCTGAGGAAAGTGCTTCAGAGGAGGAGGAGAAAGAGAGAAGGGAGAAGGTGCCTTCTTCAATGATTAAGAACATGTGTGCAAAGTGGAAAGAGTTGCAAACTTTTGTTGAAAAATATCATCCTGACAAAGCTAATACAAGCCGTATCTGCAACATGTTCAGTGACAATACCTTGTCCCATTTTAGGCAAATCTTAGAGACGCCAGAAACAGAGCTCTCTGTACATATTTTTAGTGCGACAGGGGTTCAGTGCCAGTAAAATACAAAGAAGGGAAGTAACCCCAGAGAGGGCTTTGATACCTGAAGTCCTTATGGAGGGGGATTCCCTTTCTAAACAACATCCCCAACTCCCTCTCCCCTCCTCGCCTTCTTCAATATGCCAAGAAGAGTCTTCATTAAAGGTATGTAATGTTCATATATCATTAAAATTAGTCATTTATATTTATTTCTCATTGTTTTCTGTATGTAAAACTATAGTTATTCTTTAAAAAATGTATTTTTTGTTAATATTTTTGGGTGTCTGGAATGGATTAATTGTATTTACATTATTTCTTATGGAAAATATTAATTCAGTTTTCGTATGTTTCAGAGTTAGACTGACCTTCTGGAACGGATTAAGTACAAAGACCGGAGTTCCACTGCATTTTTAAAAATTTCTTCCAAGCCAATGATTCATTAGCTCTCATTCCATCAGAAAGGTTCGTTGTTCTAGACCTTATATTACCTAATTCACCTGACCGCTCAATTAACTTGCCAACAGTAACACAATATCACTTGCACATTTACACCAGTGCTTCTGATATTTTTTTTTTTTTTTGCAAAACTTTAACACACCACAACAATTAGTTTTTATCAGATTCCACTCAGTTCAGTCTTATACGATTAATAAAAATGCACTCTTAACCCTTTCACTATCCAGACCCCCAAAATTAAAAGGCACAATACAGTGACTGGAATATTACAAAAATAACCCACACATAGGAGAGACGAGCTTACGATGTTTAGATCTGACTCAGACCATTTACAAAGTCACTCTCAAAGTCCAATTTTTTTAAAAATAATGATGCAAAGCTTACGGAATTTACACAGGAGCAAAGCTGTCATTCTCAGCACAATTTCTGCATTGACAATTTCACTCATGAATCCTATTGTAAGCCAATTCCATTGCTCCATTCAACAAAACTTTTAGCAATTTCACAAGTATGCCTTCTGCTCTATCAACTGGGCACAAGCAAATGCCTATTCATCTATTAAAATTATCCTATAAAGTGCCCAAGTCAGTAATTTGGCCAATTTTACATAAAATAAAAACAAATACAAATTTTAAAAATAGTCCAAAATAAGGAATGTAGACATTCCTGGCATTAAAACATTTCCTATGTTCATTAATCACATCCCCAGCTCTCCTATATTATGCTTGCCTTCCATTTTTAATTCATAACTGAAAATTTACAATATTTCCCAGATAATGAAATATAACCAGGAATGATTGGTCATGGTTTACGGTATCCCAATAATTGAATCAGACTTATTAAAAACCCCACAACACAGGCTGAGGGGTGTAGGGGGCCTTACCTGTCCTTGGGAAAATTGGCAAAAATCAAATATTTCCGCTACTTTCAACTACATTTCAATAGTATGTTTTCCATTCTATCAAATGGTACCAAGAAACAGCCAATAAAACCATCCTAGAAAATGCCTCTAAAGTTACTATTTTAAACCAAACACAAGTCAAAGTTTAGATTTCCCCTGTGCACATTCACCACACAGACCCATTCTCTCATATCTAAGCCAAAATTTACCACTCACAGCTTATCTGAGCGAGCTGAATTCTTGATGTATTACTACATTAGGGGGACTGGCCTCAATGACTTAGTTCAATGTGACAATCATTGAAAGGGTTAATTAATCTCCAAGAAAAGAAATTCAAAGCCTTCCCAAATGTACAAGAATTTTAACTTCTTGGTATGCCACAGTTAACCCTTTCAGGGTCCGTCCCATAGATCTACGGCTTTACGTTCAGGGTCCAAACCGTAGATCTACGTCATGGTCTCAGCTCACTCTGATAAACTGTGAGTGGTACATTTGGGCCTAGATATGAGAGAATACATCTATGTGGTATATGTGCACCACATAAAACAGATCCTGCAGCACACTGTGTATAATGAGAGAAAAAAACTGAAATCATGATTTTTCGATTAAAACAGTGACTTTGCAGTGTTTTTTCGTATGATTTTCATAGTTGTATTTGCGATTTCTTGGTCTCATTTGATAGAATGGAAGACATATTACAGAAATAGAGATGATTTTGATTAGTTTTAGCACTGGAAATGGCCTGAAACTGAGCTCAAAGTAGCAGAAATGTTAAATTTTTGCCGATATTCAAGAGTAAACAAACAACCTCACAAATCTAATACACGCCAGCTGGTGGGTCTAATATGCATTCACAAATATGGTGATGATAGTTATACAATTATTACAGTATTGCATAATAGTAAATCCTCTATTTTTTGGTGTGAATAAAAATTCATTATGTGAATAAAAAATCAAAATGGAATTTATTTGTAAAGCCTCAAAACATAACTAATGAACAGAGGAAATGTTAGTTTAGTTCCTGGAATACCTACATTGTTTATTCTGGACCCTATTTTGAAACTGGAATATTCTGAACTTTGTGTTAAATTGGCCATATTAACAATTTCCGATCACTTTAATTTGTAGTTGAAACAGTTGACTTGGCGATTTCTTGTGCTCAATCGATAGAATAGAAGTAATACTAGTGAAATAGCTAAGAATTTGGTTGACTGGAATAATGTAATTGGCCTAAAATGGGAGTCAAAGTCCGTAAAATCACCGATTCGTAAATATCGCTGACACATCAAAATTTGCAAGAGCATAATTTCGTCAATTTTCCATCAAATTTCGTACTATTTGTTTTATTACCTTCACAAAAAGATTCTCTACCATTTCATAAAAAATAACAAATTTTTTTTTTTTGAAAATTCTTGGACACTGGGGCACCACTTCAGATTTGGGCCTTGGACCCTGAAGGGGTTAAGGGGTTAAATTTATGTAAGAAACCAGACATATAAATTACTGCATTAAAAGATAACCTTTCGCATATACAACCCACTGTTTAAATTAAAAATGAAACTATAGTTAAAAAAAAAAATGGTTACTATTGTTCACCCTAATAAGTGAGTTCAAGAGTAATGTGTACATTAGTGTATGTGGATCATGTACACATGTGATTACCTACCTCATTAAACTTTTTGTTGATATAAAAACATAGCTAAGCTCATAGTGTTACATCTCTAATTTTTGGCGTTGAACAATTTTTTTTGAAGTAAAACCGAGTAAACCACTTACTTTCTTTTTTTTTTTTTTTACAAAATTATATCCATTGCCAGTGCATGGATAAATGTTTGTGTCCATGTGTGCATGTACTTGAAAATGCAAGCTATGTTCAAAATGTTTACATCACTATAACCTCATTAAGTAGAACTACATACATTACTATAGTATGTCTGACTGCAACACCCTGACATTCTGAAACTAATTAAATCAAACTTGCCAAATTATATTCACTGCCAGTACATTTCCAATGAGAAACAATCCTTGCTCCAGTGATGGCTACCTCTTCTTTAACACAATAACAGTAACACTCACCAGCTGGTGTGCTTGAGACTGTGATACAGGTTGACCTTGAGGGGGAGGGTGGACATCCTGGCTACCATCCCCCCCACTGTATCCTTCCAATCCTGAGAAACCAGTAGGCATCTCACACCCGCTTAACCACTGCCAAAACAAGGAAAAACACACAATTAGTTACAAGGCTTCTGTATATTGTGCAACTAGCAGAAAAATTAGAAACCAAGTACCCAATGAAAAAATTAACTATTGACTGATTTGCTAACTTTGAAAATAAATTACACATTCCCAGATTTTTGTTTCTCCTTGCCTAGTACTGCGGTCTCGTGTACTCCCATATTACAATAATTTTTTTTTTCAACAAGCTGGCCGTCTCCCACCGAGGCAGGGTGACCCAAAAAGAAAATCCCCAAAAAGAAAATACTTTCATCATCATTCAACACTTTCACCTCACTCATACATAATCACTCTTTGCAGAGGTGCCCAGATACAACAGTTTAGAAGCATATATAAAGATATATAACCTAACCCTCTAAACTGCCAATATCCCAAATCCCTCCTTTAACCCTTTGAGGGTTTCGGACATACTAGTACGGCTTACGACCCAGGGTTTTTGACGTACTAGTATGCCTAAATTCTAGCGCCCTCAAATCTAGTGGGAGAAAGCTGGTAGGCCTCCATATGAAAGAATGGGTCTATGTGGTCAGTGTGCATGGTATAAAAAAAATCCTGCAGCACACAGTGCATAATGAGAAAAAAAAAACTTTGACCGTTTTTTTGGAATAAAACAGCGACTTTGCACTGTATTTTCGTATGGTATTTATTGTTGTATTCTAGTTTTCTTGGTCTCATTTTATAGAATGGAAGGCATATCATAGAAATTGAGATGATTTTGACTGGTTTTACAATGAAAAGTACCTTGAAATTGAGCTCAAAGTAGCAGAAATGTTCAATTTTTACCAAAGTTCAAAAGCAAACAAATTATGCCAAGCGTCCAATTCACATCAACTGGTGAGTCTAATATTCTTTTGCAAGTGCGCCAATATGATTCATACCATTTTTTACACTAATGCAGTAGTCTGCATAACAGTAAATCTTCTATTTTTTGTGAGAATAAAAATTCAAAGTGGAAAGCAAAAAATTGTAAGAGGGGCCTTGAGACGTGACTAATGAACAGAGGAAATGTCATTTTAGTGCCAGGAATGTATTTCTTGTTTGTTCTGGACCCTATTCGGAAATTGGCATCTTTTGAAATTTGTGTGAAATTGGCAAAATTGCTAAATTCTGACCATTGAACTGGATAGTTGAAATTGGTAAATGGGTGGTTTCTTGCACTCATTCAATAGAAAATATGGAGTTCTAGCGAAATATTCATGTTTTTTGTCGACTAGTACAGTGGAACTGGCTGAAAATGGGGCTCAAAGTGGGCAAAATCGCCGATCCGTAAACACCGCCGAGACATCTAACTTCGCGAGAGCATAATTCCGCAAGTTTTCCATCAAATTTCATAATTTTGGTGTCATTATGATCGGGAAAAGATTCTCTATCTTTTCATAAGAAAAAATTATTTTTTTTTTTTAAATTTGGCCGACCCTGAGAACAAGTCTCTGAGAGGGCCTGTCGACCCTCAAAGGGTTAAAGTGCGGGCATTGTACTTCCCATTTCCAGGACTCAAGTCGGACTATGTAAAACTAACCGGTTTCCCTGAATCCCTTCACTAAATATTACCCTGCTCACACTCCAACAGCTCATCAGGTACCAAAAACCATTCGTCTCCATTCACTCATATCTAACACGCTCACGCACGTTTGCTGGAAGTCCAAGCCCCTCGCCCACAAAACCTCCTTTACCCCCTCCCTCCAACCTATTCGAGGACGCCCCCAACCCGGCCTCCTTCCCCTACAGATTTATATGGTCTCCATGTCATTCTACTTTGATCCATTCTCTCTAAATGACCAAACCACCTCAACAACCCCTCTAATATTTTTAACTCCACACCTTCTCCTAATTTCCACACTCCCTAGGTAGTTGCTGTCTACCAACCTACTACTACATACAGTGGACCCTCGTTTTTCATAAGGCTCGAAAGTCATAATTTAAAAAAATCTTAACTTTTTTTCGTCAAAACATTGACTCGAAAATTGTCATTTGACTTGCAAATAGTCATTTGTCTCGGACGCGTACGCACAGCCCTGAGCAGCCTCACACTCCATTCCCAGCCAGTGTGCCATTGTTTATCAGTGAGTGAGGATGATCCCACGAGTTCATACGATACATTTCATAATCCATTCGTTTTAGTGCTTGCAACTGCTAAATAAGCCAACATGGCTCCAAAGAAAGCTTCTAGTACCAGCCCTTTGGTAAAGAATGTGAGAAACACACATAATTTACGAAAAAGTTTGTAGAAAAATACGAAAGTAGTGGTGGTAGAATGGTAGTAGTTGTGATAGTGGTAGAGGGTGGCAGTGATGGTGGTAGTGGGTGGTAGCAGTTGTGATAGTGGTAGAGGGTGGTAGCAGTTGTGATAGTGGTAGAGGGTGGTAGTGATGGTAGGTGATAGTGATGGTGGTAGAGGGTGGTAGTGATGGTAGTAGAGGGTGGTAGCAGTTGTGATAGTGGTAGAGGATGGTAGCAGTTGTAATAGTGGTAGAGGGTGGTACTGATGGTGGTAGCAGTTGTGATGGTGCTAGAGGGTGGTAGTGATGGTAGTAGAGGGTGGTAGCAGTTGTGATAGTGGTAGTGATGATAGTGGTTGTGATAGTGGTAGAGGGTGGTAGTGGTTGTGATAGTGGTAGAGGGTGGTAGTGGTTGTGATGGTGGTAGTGGTTGTGATGGTGGTAGTGGTTGTGATGGTGGTAGTGGTTGTGATGGTGGTAGTGGTTGTGATGGTGGTAGAGGGTGGTAGTGGTTGTGATGGTGGTAGAGGGTGGTAGTGGTTGTGATGGTGGTAGAGGGTGGTAGTGGTTGTGATGGTGGTAGAGGGTGGTAGTGGTTGTGATGGTGGTAGAGGATGCCTTCTTCAGTGATTCTACTAACTCCTCCAATGTTGTTGGAGTTATATAGGGCTACAGAAAACACCACCGCCTCAGCTGCTGCTTCACCACCATTATGGACGGCTTATGCTCACAGTGGCCCTTTACACCCAACAACACAACACCTCTACTGACATACATAATGACTTTTATTCATTCTAGAGTATATTCCTATGTTTCTATGCTATTAATATTGTTCATTATGTCATAATAATTGAATTGTGATAGATAAATAAGCCGTAGAGTTGATATTAGTGTCATATTCTCCATCTATAAACTCGCCTCCCCTCCCTCTGCCCCGTCTGCCATGCACCAACAATAAAGGTAAGGTAAGTGTGATGTTATATGTTCATTTATACATTTTATTAATGCTTTACATTTATTTGGCATTCTTTTCTGCATGTAAATCTATATTTAAGCTAGGGAAGTGACCCCTGAAGTGACCTAGAGTCCTTACGGAGGGGGATTCCCCTTCCAAACAATAACCTCTTTTCCCTCTCTCCTCCTCCCTGTCTTCCATTCATCAACAACAGCCTTCAATAAAGGTAACCGTCATGTTGAATGTTCATTCTTTTGAGCATGTAAATCTATCTTTAAGGTAAAAAAATTTTTTTTTTGATACTTCTGGGTGTCTGGAACAAATTAATTGGATTTACATTATTTCTTATGGGGAAAATGGGTTTGCAAATCGTCAATTTCGATAATAGTCACACTCTCTGGGACGAATTACGAAAAACGAGGGTCCACTGTATAAATTCCAATAATGTCTCCCTTAATTGATTTCCTTTCTACCACAGGATCCTGTCTAGCTAGCAAAATCTCAAGTACCAATGCTCAAGCGAGAGACTACCGTGTTTGAAGTTTTCCAAGCTCCTACTAATCCTACCGAGGTGTCTCTTGACAATAAATTCACAGGAAACTTTCTGAGCAGTACCATCGTTACTGCTCAAAAGAGTAGCTCATGTGCTTTTACCAGCCATTGCAATATTGTTCAACAAATCACTAGAAAGCAACATATTCCCAACAATGCAAAAGATAGCAAGGGTTGCCCCAACACAGAGGAGGAAACCCAACCGATGTAACTAACTATACCTATATCTAACCTGCCACTGTCATCTAAAATCTTCAAAAAATTAATCCGTAAGAGATTATATTCTAGCATCACTAAATATACTCAACCCCTGTGCAAGAAAGGTTACAGGCCAAATAAAAACACAAAGTAATTATAAAAAAGTTTGACTTCCTTTATGCAGTTCTTGAGAATAATGAATATTCACTAGGCATCTTAACAGACTCTAGGCAAGCTTACAGTACACTGGATCACAACATCCTGAACCTTAACCCTCAAACGGTCCAAACATATATATGTTTTTTCAACATTTGAAAGTACATAAAAAAATGTGCATCATTTTTTTTTTTACATTTGAAAATGTGTAAAAAAACTTTTATCTACTTTTTTTTTTTTTGTTATACAGTGGTCCCTCGTTTTTCATAGTTAATCCGTTCCTGGAGTTGCTACTACAGTGGACCCTCAACCAGCGATGGCATCGATTAACGATAAATCTGACTAGCAATACATTTCAACGCAAAAATTTTGCCTCGAATAGCGCTTAAAAACCCGACCAGCGTTATTCGTTCCGTACGAGACGTGTCCACTTTGGCCTGAGCGCGCCTCACTTGTCCCGTGGGTGCCAGTGTTTACAAGCCAGCCACCGCAGTCGCTTCCAAACATACAACTGGAACATTTCATATTATCACAGCCTTTGTAGTGATTGCACCTGCAAAATAAGTCACCATGGGCCCCAAGAAAGCTTCTAGTGCCAACCCTACAGCAAAAAGGGTGAGAACTACTATGGAGATGAAGAAAGAGATCATTGCTAAGTATGAAAGTGGAGTGCGTGTCTCTGAGCTGGTCAGGTTGTATAATAAACCCCAATCAACCATCGCTACTATTGTGGGCAAGAAAACGGCAATCAAGGAAGCTGTTCTTGCCAAAGGTGCAACTATGTTTTCGAAACTGAGATCGCAACCGGTAGAAGATGTTGAGAGACTCTTATTGGTGTGGATAAACGAGAAACAGATAGCAGGAGACAGCATCTCTCAAGCGATCATATG